TGCATACATTACATACATACTTTCATAGAATACATACATTGCAAACACACATTACGTACATACAATACTACAATACATTACATACATACAATACATACATTACATCACATTACATGACATGACATGACATTGCATTGCAAAACAAAAAGTACATAACATTACAAGAAATAAAGAAACATTACATAACATTACAAAACACAACATTAGACAACATAACACTACATAACATAACATTACATAACATTACATTACACAACGTAACATTACGGCCAGGCGCAGTGATGTGTGTTGCCCGGAACGTTCAAATGGCATACCATACATGATCCTTCAACATGCTCAAACAGCTTCGCAGGGCCAGTGTCTTGAGATTTCCGATTTCCCAAACGACGAACCCTAAACCCTGAACCCCTAAACATCCTAAAGCCTAAAACCCTAAAACCCCAAATCCTAAAACTCTAAACCCTAAAACCCGAAACCTAAGCCCTGAGAACTTTGAATCCTAAACCAGTATTTTTGCAATCTCTCCTATCATATATTCGACAACACGACATCCTTAATGTTGATGTCTGGGCAACACACGGCGTCTGTGGGTGACATTACAAAACAAAACATTACACAACATAACATTACACAACGTAACAGCACATAACATTACATTACATTACATTACAGTATATACATTACACATATACATTACATCCGTTGCATACATTACATACATTACATTACATACATTACATACATTACATTACATACATTACATACATACATTGCATACCTTACATACACTACATACATTACATACATATAGGACATACATTACATACATACGTACAGTACATTACATTATACACATTACATAAACTACATTAATCATACACATCACATTACTTTACATGAAATGGCATGACATGACATGACAAGACATTACATTAAAAAAACAAGAAATACATCACATTACAAAAGAAAAGAAACATTACATAACATTACAAACCACAACATTAGACAACATAACATTACATAACATTACATTAAAAACATTACATAACATTACACAACGTAACATTACGGCCAGGCGCTGTGATGTGTGTTGCCCGGAACGTTCAAATGGCGTTCAAACATGATCCTTCAACATGCTCAAACAGCTGCGCAGGGCCAGTGTCTTGAGATTTCCCAAACGACGAACCCTAAACCCTAAACCCTAAACATCCTAAATCCTAAAACCCTAAAACCCCAAACCCTAAAACTCTAAACCCTAAAACCTAAGCCCTGAAAACTTTGAATCCTAAACCAGTATTTTCTGCAATCCCTCCTATCATATATTCGACAACACGACATCCTTAACGTTGATGTCTGGGCAACACACGGCGTCTGTGGGTGACATTACAAAACAAAACATTACACAACATAACATTACACAACGTAACAGCACATAACATTACATTACATTACAGTATATACATTACACACATACATTACATCCGTTGCATACATTACATACATTACATTACATACATTACATACATTACATACATTACATACATTACATGCACTACATACATTACAAACATTACAAACATTACATTACATACATACAGGACATACATTACATACATACAGTACATACATTACGTACATTACATTATAGACATTACATAAACTACATAAATTATACTCATTACATTACATTTACTTTACATGAAATGGCATGACATGACATGACATTACATTACATTTACATATATATATATATATATATTGCATCTCTTTAGCGACTTTCTATGTACTGTAAGAAATTTCAGTAGGATCAATTAGACCAATATCATTCAATTTTTGCAGCCGAAAGAAACATATACCATCCTGATATGATCCTGATATGTGCAGCAATTTCATGAGAACCTCATCTCTGAATTGTTGCACAGGCCTGTTTGCCAAGTTTGATCATCTTCAGAATTTCAACAATGGTGAAAGCGCTCTATTGCAGAATGGAACCCCCAACCAGTTTCCATACATAGCGACACCATCTGGATTTGAATCACGTGTGTTCAATAATGACATCTTTCTTTTTTTCATGAACATACATGAATGAAGTCTTGACTCACCATTCGCATTTCATTCAGAAACAGCCCCCCCTCCCAAACCAACATGATCATGACCATGACGACATATAGTTATTTGTCAAAAGCCTGATACCTAAATGGTTCCCTAAAATCGCTGGATTTAGCTGGTTGACGGATGGTTATTCCCCAAACGAATGGTCATTTCCATAGATTTTTGACCCATCCCCAGACGACCATCCTACCTGCGCCGCGAGCGGCGCGGTCACAAGGGTCACCAGGGAAGCGTCTGGACAGCTATCCAGGAAGAAGCTGGGCTCCTTCTGGGGCCGGGTCAGGGATGACATCTGGAGATGGGGAAACATATGGGAAAATATGGGGAAAAATGGGAACATATGACCAACACCATTGAAAATATCAACATGATTCAACATATCTTAAGAGACCATGTGGTTGGAACCAAGTCACAATGATACATAATGAGCTATCAAAAAGTACTTTTTTTTTAAAGTCACCTTTGGGAAGCAAACCTGTACAAACATAGAGTGACATGGAGGGTGAATTCGACAAAGGAACTCTAAACCGGCAATGATGGCAATGGAAGCCCCCTTGAGGTCCAAGAATCTCATCCCACCAACAAATTGGAAAGCACACGTCGACCCAAATACATTGGCCTACTCTGGCGAATCAGAGAATGGCACAAATAACTTTGAAGTCAAAACGCAAATTCCTCACATATCATTGCGCCGGGACGACCCCTTGCAAAAGATGGCAAAAAGTGTTTGACACAGTGTATAATCCCAAAGAACTAGGATACATTAGGATGGACCCAGGTGGTATCCGTTTATGTTGTTTACTCCTAATCTCTCAATTTTTGCTGTGGAATGCTCAACCTTCTCTTAAGCCAAAACCCAGGCCCACCTCATCTCGACATTTTTGCGACTTCAAAACACCAATCGGTTTGGACCTGGCGCCACGTTTGATTACAGGAGGGTCAACTCGAGTTTTATCCCCTGCGGGTTGATTGATGTTTGTTCATTTTATATTAGACTTAAACCCCAGCATACCCCATTAATTGTAGATAGAAACCCTATATATATATGGTTAACTGGGACACCACCATTGATTTAAAATCTTGGGAAAATTGGCTTAGTCATGCTTAAATCTCCATTTTATCCACATTTATATGATTTTCCCATGATTGACCCTCAGGTTATTAACATAGTTACGGACAATTGCACATTTACAAAAGATAAACATGATGACTTACCTAGCTACAAAATTGTGTTTTTTCCAGTTCGCACGGTGAAATAACTAGAGGGTATCCCCCAAAGATCATTTCTCCACATTTATATGGTTGAGGGTCCACTAAATCCCAATGTTTGATGTTTTGATTGACCTGACCAACAAAATGGTGAATCCAGGATGGTCATAATCTCTTATGGTGATCATCATCTATCATTAGAATCTATTATCCATAGGGTGGTGGTGATCATACTCATATCATATCCTGATTTCATGGTTAAATAATTAAATACCCTTTCAACCAACAACTGTGGAATAAGAAACCCATTTATAAAACTTGCATTTGGGCCCCTAACTCTATGAATGCCAACTAGAGGGTAATAAATCCAAATCCACATTGTTAATCATCATGATGCCTACTATTTGATGGTTAAAACTCAATCATTTGATGGTGATATGTTCCCAAATTTTCCGATATTGTTTGGTGGTTAAACCATGGTTAAACCTCCATAATTTGATCTGGTTGGTGGTGTCAACCCCTCTGAAAAATATGAGTCAGTTGGGATTATTATTTCCAATGTATGGAAAATAAAAAGCCATGTTCCAAACCACCAACCAGCGATGGTTAAATTCCAAAGATCCAGCCTTCCAGGCGTCCGCTCTTTGACTCGTCGCCAGCATCGCTTGCGCCGCGCCACGCGGCACAGCGACGAGGTCGTGCGGCGCATGGCGGCCGCGGCGACATCAGCGGCGGCAACGGGAAAGGAGGCGTTTTTTTGGCGAAGAAAATTTGGGGATTTGTGGGATGTACATGGAGCAAAAAAGTGGATTTATGGTGATTTAAGACTTGATAAGATGACCTTATTTCAGATGATTTGAGGTGATTTAGGATGATCTTGTAGATTTAAGAGGACTTAATGGGGATGTAGAAAGCACAATAGTGGATTAAAGCAACACAAATGGGAATTTGACAAGCAAAAGGTCTTGAAAAAGGGGCTCACAAAGCATTAAAGCATCTATTTGAAAAGACCGGATTGAATAGTAAGTTATATAGGCCATGTTTTACAGTAGCTACAATAAACAAAGGGATTTAAGCAGCAGAAATTGGATTTGTGCCGCTCCTGTTTGCCAGGGATCATTGGGATCATGGGGATTCAACATGGGATCTGAGACCTTGGTGACCTTAATTCAACAGTTTTGCCATGGGTACTGCGAGGAAACGGCTTCCCATATTCCCATTTCAGTTCATGACGGAAACACATCAAACAAACCGATCTGTGCCCATAAACATCCGGTAATACGATCAGCAGCTTTTCTTGTGGCCCATTCCAACTTCTTGTATGCCATAGGCCATGTTCCTTTCATGTTTTGCTTCATGAGCCAGTATTGGCCAAGCAAGGTGGGACTCAGACACTCAAGATACTCAAGTGGCCGTGTTCTTCGCAGTAATGCCAGCCCCAAATATAAGCAATGCCGAGGGGTGCCACAAGTAGTGATGACAATCACATGACAATGGATACTAGTGTGGAACCCCATAAGTAAACACTCCAGGAATTGAGACTAATCCAGGAAACATCTTCCCGTCATCATTCAGTTTTGGTATAGCTTGAAGATATATATATATATATATTATCATTGTAAATGTGTACGTATGTATGTGTGTATATATATATGTATTCATATTCTATATATATATAGTCTTCTATAGTCATATGAATCATATGAACAATTATTTATTATTCTCTATATCTTTCGACAGCCCAAGCACAGCTACAACCTCCGTCCTGCATGGACGTGGCCCTCAATGGCTTTGTCTATACCAAACAAACACCACCCAAGGAGAGCCATTGCGAGACTCAGGCTGACCAAATGTGAGATATGGGACCCGTGCCATAGCCCAACTTTTCCACAGGGCACTGCAGTTCAATCCCTCGCAGAGGGCGCTATGCGCAGGGGGAAGCGACTATGGTCAGCCAGGAGTGGCCATAAAGACCATCCACTGGAGAAATCGACGGAAAACCATAGGGGGGTTGTTTGAAAATACCAAACCTATCATCGGTTTAAATTGGTTGAGAAGGGTTGGACAACCAAGTCGACCCCGTGTTCTACGGAATGGCAAATCATCATGTGTTGTATGTTCGTTAAACGGTTTCTTGTATAGAAGGTCAAAACAGTCCCTAATCCGCCATTCTTGCTGTTTGAATCTTGTTCACGGGACAAGCCAGTCTTGCTTCAGGGTTGGTGGAAAGTATGATGCAATCCCATGGGCACATCGGCACATCCCGGACTGAATTTTTGGTCATGGCTAGGCCTAGATCAGATATTCACACACACATGACTAAACTCTGAATCTCCAACAGGATAAAAAGGTCTCTACTCACTCTACTTCAAAAAAACAAAAAAAACATATCAAAGAGAGAAAATAAGCCTGTTCAATAAGTTCAATAACCAATATTTTTTCTTGGTGAAATCCACATGAAAGGATACCCACAAGGACCCCTTGCTCAACGTAGTTGACCACGGACTGCATGGAGAGAATCCCACTCGTCAACAAGAAGGGACATGGAAAGGAACAAAAAGGTGGCTTTGTACCAAATATATCCAAATATGGAGTTTCAAAGGAACCAACTACGGAACCAACTATTATATGGAGTTCACTCTCTCTCTCTCTCTCTCTCGCCTTCTCAAGGAGTTCAACAGAGCTACATAAAGACAACATATCTAATATGGAGCTGTCTTGTCTAATTTATCATAGTTATCCCTGTGACGAAACATGGCCACCGTAGCCCTTCGCCCCAGCAGTGGCAGGACGCCAAAAAATCCCGGCACTTCTCACCGGGAGATCGTCAACGGCACTACGCTGGACAGCTGAAATAGCATGATCGAGCCACCGGCAAGGCGAAAGTCGCGACTGGGATCACAACCCCCCCAAAAAAAACATCATGGAACATCAAACAGATTTGAAATCAGAGATGCATATGCTTGCTATGCTTATTGTATACTGTATATTAATATATATGTGATTTATCTCAAAGAAATTGTAATGAATCAGTTCTGCACAATACTGTAGCTGAAATGGGTGCAACAATGTTAAAAGTTCATGTGCAGAGAACAGCAAATCAAAGCGAATCAGAGAAAACGGAGCATCAGAGTGACAAAGCCAGTCCAGTGGAGCCAGTCCAGTGTCACAAATGTAACGCCGTAGCCACGCAAAAAGGCTGGCAAATCGCTCTCGAGTGCCAGCCAAGTTGGGCGTGCAGTTCAGAGGGGACCGTTCTGAGCAAAGACCTTGAAATATGTTGAAGCAATCCCAGATTTCTTCATCTTGGCCCAACAATACACCATCATACACCGTCCCACTTTATAAGCAAAGGATAGTGTAAATCACCCCTTTTCTGGGTCTACGACACTCCTTCAGTATTTCTGTTGTTGCTGGCAACCACAAACCATGAAATTCCATCAATGCCCAAATCTTGCAATGGTTTTCTGATTTTCTGGTGAAACCATGAAACATAAATTATGGTGATATATTGTATTATGAATATATGTGGACCGTTTGAACAAGGTGAGGCTCTCAAGTTGTAAGTTGGTTGATAATCCCATTAACTATGAATATGTGAGATTATGTCACGTTGCACCCCCCACAAACCAAAGCTATTCGAGTGTTAAATCAATAGGGCCTAAGGGGGTCTCACCTTGAAAGAGTGAAACAGTTCCCCTCTCTTTCTAGGTGCACTGCAAACTTCAAATTTCGTTTCGCTTCGGATCTCAATCGCCCACAGGGCAAGGAGACAGAGACTAGGACAGTGGTGAATACTGTCAATGTGGCAACAAGACAGGCCATAACCATTGCTTGCTCTGGTGTTGGACGACTAAGATCCGGCGTGTAGCCAAAAATTTTCTGAAAAAGCTATGGAGCACAGCCTGGATCGAAGGCAATACCAGTACCCCAGGTCTGAAAAATCACCTCTTTGTGATCCGACACATGAAGAAACGGGATTTTCATGGGGGATCCACTGTGTGACATGCAAACCGCGGAAAAGGGCGCAGTTGGATGCTGTTTCTTGGATTTTTGTTGGTCAAATGTTAAGTCGGAATCCGAAAAATACTCTGGTATAGTAGCAATTTGGATGCAAAGCTTCAAGATCCCACGCACAGCAATGTAATATAATGCAATGTTCCAGTTCCAACTTCTATCACTTAGACCTTTTTGCTTAGTTAGTGATCAAATACATTCCTGGTCCTTTCACACATTCCACCACGGCCCAAGCGAAAGAAAGTGTTCTTTACCAAACAAATACCGACATTGAACAACTCATAGATCCCACGAACTGACCCCATGACCCTGCCACTACTAATTATCACTACCCCTATAGAATACCTGAAATGGCTAAGGCTGAACATGACTGGTGTAAATTTGTCCCCGAGAAAGAAGAACCGTCAAAGATCGGGAATGGAACTATGTCGCTGAGATAATGCTAACGTCTAATGGTATGACCTTGTATTCAAGGTATCATCCCAAAAATATCCAAAAAGAAGAAACAAAGTGACTGACTATAGGAACAGCCATGGTTTTTACTCGTCATACACTGAAGAACTGGCTATGCAGGCGCCATCCGCTGGCTGTGCTCCCGCGGCCCCCAGCTGGGATCAGTGGCCCGACAAGTCCATGTGCGAGACCCAGGGGCGAAACCGGAAGTGCCTCCCTAAGGAAGCAATATATGAATAATATATATATATATGTATGTGTGTGTGTGTCAATGTTCCATTTTTTATCACTTTTTGATGTATATATATATATAAATACAAATAGAATTAAAATGTATTTGTTAAATGCATCTACATTTACGCATCTATTTACATGGTGTATTTGAATGAAACAATTCTTAAGCAGCAGTATTATCATTCACATGCACATGAGTATTTGAGGAGATTTGAGGGGGTGAAAAATGAGCGACGTATTTACTGGGTACGGTATATACCAGTATGTTTGGAAGGCTTCAAGTCGTAGATCAGATTTCCTATCCAGCAAAAAATGCTACTTAAGCAGCAAGTACCTGAACAAGTCTTGGAATACTTAATGCAAACAGACTTTAACTTATGTCGTGGAGATACCACGTCACATGATATCACTCGCAAAACAATGCCGTCAAATTTTGGACCTTGGCTCTTCACGGACATGCAAATACCAACGGATGTTCACCCATCAGATGTCCCTGACATTCCCTGACGAAGGGCTCGGGCACCAACGCCAGGAGGACGTCAGGTCCTGGGTCCCACTGTTGGAGTTGACTAGCGCTTAAGAGCTCTGCGAACGTGTCGTTCGAAGGGCGAGCCGCATCGAGCAGAGTAGAAAAAAGTCGAAACGCACACTGAGCGAACCGTGTGCGGCAAAGGACACATCAAACATCAACCATCAGCAACCTATACTGATCTTTGTTGTCCCATCTTTTGTAACATAATGAAACTATATTTAACTTTGCCAACACACCGGGTCCCACAAGTACCGTCGACTGAGACCGGGCCTACGCCACAGCTCAGGTCAGGCGTAGGGGACAGGCGCTGAATCGTCGGTCGGTCCTGTCATGACCCGCCCGGTCAGCCACCAAATCTCCTTCAGGGCGTCTGATCCACAAATCTTCAAAACTACAGTACCAAACAGGAGCTCGGATCTCTTGAATTTTGAGCCTTTTTGATTCATCATGAATCATGATTCATCAAGTCTTTT